GAAAACTGCATTGAACAGATAAAATTATTATTATTATTATTATTATTATTATTATTATTATTATTATTATTAGGAAAACATGAAGGTACTACTGGTTTTCATTGGCTAAACTGAACACTGGTCACTGCCGAAACTAGAAATGTTTTGGGAAGAAGAGAAAAAGAACAGAGGCAAAAGAGCTGGGAGTTGTGAAATGTGTAGGTGAGTGGGAGAAAGCACTTGATGGAATGCAATGATGCAAGCCCCACCCACTTTGACTGTTCAAGGAATGTTGCGTGTACAAAGGGGGTGGGGCTTTCATTGTGACATGCCATCCACCCTGCTGCTGATGTGAACCCTCCCCTGTGGATGTCTCTAACAAGCAACACTGACAACAGAATGGCACAAGCATCGTGAAGTCACTGCACTCAATTACTACTTGTGCCTCAGTGCCAGATGCAAGCACATCAGTCATGTCACTGGCTTCACGTTACATATAACCCTTTGCCCTGCCTTGCCCCCTTCCCTGACACCCAAGTCTCCCCTCCATTAATCTTTAAAGTGAAGATGGACCAGGCTCTCCTTCAAACAGGGAACGATTTTGTACAGAAGACAGTATTCTAAAACACAGAACACCTAACTGCCTTACTCTGGTGTTAGACGATAGGTGCGAACATATTTTGTGGGATTTAAGGTATGTGTTGGCTTCTGCTGAGTCTCCAGTCATAGCACAGACTGTTATCTATAGTAAATCATGATTGGTCTTCATATAATGCAACCAGCTGTCTAAGCACTGTCAGTGGAGTACACTGCCTTGGACAGAACCTGAATCTTAAATCAGAGTTTCCGTAGCCTGTCATACTTTTATGGAAAGATTTACTAGCTGCCAGTAGAATGATCTAAGCCATGCTGAGACAGGCTAAATGCAACTACCCCAAAGGGAAAAAGATAGCCAAGTCTTCAGCTGCAAGTCATCTTCTCAGCTATGATGATAATTGCATCCAAACTCATGGAACAGAATCCAAGTCCATAGACTACAATCCCTGTACGGTTCATAAAAAACAAGATACTCATAATTTATTAATGATCATGGCTACCCCTGGCTTTCTCTGTTATCTTAGGTGGTTATCTTAGAAGTGATTGCTGGACTGGGATGTGGGAAAGATTTTTGCACTCACCTCCTGCTTCTGTTGGCCACTGTGGGAACAGAACATTGGACTACATAGACTCAGTTTTGCCCTTCATGTATTCTTGGAATAGTTAATTCCTAATTTTATGCACCTGCATTCCATCTTTATGGATTTATTTGATGCAAAGGGGCTTTCAGTTGTACCTATTAATGGATAGTAAGCATCCCGTCTTTGTGAACTCTTGCAATTAAAGAAAACAGAAGTGGTTGGAAAACACTAAAGAGATGCAAATAGAATTGTGTAGACCTCTGGTAAATTTATAAAAATGAATCTGGGAGGTTGTTTAATTAACATCTCATCTGGAAGTATCTTTTTGATTTAATCTGATCTCTACCTTTATTTTGTCTCCATATTTTACTGGGGCTGGACTGAGCTATCCTTTGCTAGATGTTTGCTTAGAGCAAAGTTGCCTGAAATGGAAGATTTGAAATGGGCCATGCATACACACTGGGTAACATAAGAAAACATTAATTGTAATAATTGCATAGCATAAGCCTCATTGAAATGAACTGGAGTTGGGTGACCAGCTTTTGACAGGCAGAACTTCCTGTAGAATGCGGAGATAACGTTGACAAGGAATGCAAGAACGGTTGGCTGAACCATTAAGAGATAGTAAAAGAGAAAGTAAACAACATCTCAGTCCTAAGACAGGAGGGAGTGTGAGAAAAAGACTCAAGAAAACCCCTCCTTGATTCTCTTTGGTACAAAAGGGGTGGAGGGAAATTCTGGCAGGCTTTCAAAATTCTGTTATGATACCGCACAGTAATAAAGTAGAGCTTTACTAGATCTTGCAGTGTCGGTTTCCTGACCTGACCTATCTTGAAGGGCTGACAACTTCCAGACAGACTTTTTTTTGTGGGCTATACTATCCTTTTCCTTGGTCTCCACCTGACATCACTATCTTGGCCTTTCCCATTGCTAAAAGGTAAAAATACCATTGAGGTGAGCTAAGCTCCTGGTAAGTACTTGGACCTGTCCATAAAGTTTTCTTGGCAAATAAAATGGAAGTGATTTGCCATTGTCTTGTTCCTGGATATTTTTTGACTTCCCAATCTAGCCTATGGACCTGGTGATCTCCCATCCAATGATAACCAGGCTTGACTCTGCTTAGCTTCTGAGATCAGTTAGTACTTTTCAGCTGTTAATTGTGAACAGAAGTTGGACACCTATTGCTCCTTTTTTCTTCACCTACCATTCCATTTTCTTTCTTTAATAACTCAGTGAAAAATGGAAATCCAACAGAAAGTCTTGACTTTCCATCCTAATGCTTGGACATTCTTGTTTTCCTGAATTGCTACATCATGTACTGTAGCTATTATTGGAAACCCATTAGAAAGAAAGATGGTAAACCACAGGAAACCTTCAGGATGATAAAATAGAGCCAGTGTAGTTCCAAAACTAGCACAGAAAATGTTTTGAGAGAAACAGGAGAAAATCTGTGTCTTATGTAGTATTCTTTTCCATAGTATTGTTCAACAAACATTTTCTATGCCAGAAATCCTTGGTGGGAACCTAAGCTAGATAAATTAATAAAATATGTCCATTGTTTTCATGTTACTGTAAACTACTTTGGAAGCTTTATTGTAGTTTATTAAATAAATAGATGTATTCACTTTCTTGATTCACCCCACCCCTCTTTTCTCATAAGGAGCTCATTGAGGTTGACAGTGAAGTCGTGTTTGAGTTAGCTGCATATATCCTGCAGGTAAGCTGTGCTGATTTTCTTGTTTATGTTTCAAGGTTTTCCAAGGGATGATGATGAGATGATGATGATGATGATGATGATGATGATGATGATGATGATGATGATGATGATGATGATGTTCACACACAGAAGCATGAACATTAACCCTCCTCTATTATATTCAATTCTCTGGACAGATCTCTGACAATCCTAATTTTTGTATTATTTGCATGTATATTTAGTCCTGTTTAAACAGGATAATTATCAGCTCAGAATTTTCCCACATTTTCTATCCTTTTTATAGCTGGTAGTTCAATGGGCAGATAGCATAATCAATACTATTTCATTTTATGCTGTTGTTAAGATCTCCACTATAAAATCAAGTCCAGGGAAATATTCATTCCTTCCATTGGCTTTCATAGAAGTATATTTTGTTCTACCAAGTTAATAATCAGCCCCATGATATAATTAGCAGGAAAGAAGATCGTTAGCCCCAAGGGTACCATAAAATAACTGGTTTTTTTCCTTCCATTATAGTGCTGGTTAATTGATTGCCAATTAACTGGAATTAACAAACACAATTGTAAATTCTACTCTAGACATCCACAAACATTTCCTCTGAGCATAGCAATCAATTAATTTAAAATACAGCAACAGTACTTAAGTCTACTCCATAGCATAACTGCTGAAGCCATGAAGACAAGGATGGAAAGAGAGAAGGACTTACATATCATTCTGCATTAAAACTTGATGTTTTATTTCCTGGCCATTCCTGATTAGAAAGTGTTGGTAACTTTAGCATCAGAGGTATTGCCAGAGTGCGAAACTAAATAACTTCTTATTAAATTAATTACATTAAAAACATCATTTGATTAATAAATATATGAATGAATATGACTCATTAAATGATACTTAATACAATTCCAGATGGAAGTAATTATCCATGAATAAATGACTCAAAGACATGCTCAACCCAACCAGCTTGATTTGGGGCCATGCAGGTCCAACACTGTTGTAGTCCTGCCAAACATGAATTACAAGATTTCCTGAGATCTGGCCCAGCTGGTAGTCAGAAATTTTTAGAGAGCTAATAGATTTACTTCAAAACTGATGTTTTTGAAGTAGAAAATCAACCTATTATTGATTAGACATCAATACCCTTGACTGTGTAATATTCTGGACTGCCCTGCTCATGTATTCTTAATGGTTAACAGAACTTATTTTTAAGATAGTTTGAGCCTAAGTGAAAAACCCAATTTTGTATGTCAGTGACTAGCAAAATTTTAAAAAAGACAGAAACAAATGGAAGCAAATGGATACAATAATATACTGACAGCTAATAAAATAAATCACATAATAGTATAGCATTCACTCCTCTACTACTATATTTGTACATTTATTACCTCGGTAATATAAATCTAAAACATTAATAAGTATAAAATGAAAGATATATATCCCCTAACAATTTATTAATTAAGATATATCAAATCAGAAGTAATATTTAGATCAAAGGTAATTACACTTTATTGAATCACAGTTTCTGAGATTTAGCTCTGCAGGTCATTCTATGGAAGCTGTATTGTCATTTCTGAAAAGGCTCTGAAAACATTTCAGTCCCTGAAAAGTGCTTGGAGGACCTGAAAGCCCCAACCTAGAACATTTTCCAACACCTTAAAACAGTCTCACCCTTTTCCAGGATCATATGGTTGGGCAATAGCAGCAAGGTTATCAAAACTTTTCTGCAGTTTTTAATCAATTCTCATTATTGGCGAGAAGGCTAATAAATATATTTGCAAGTCGATGTTTAATTATTTTAGGACCTCCCTGCCAGGATTTTATGGGGTTGTTAAATGATATGATAGAAATCTCATACCCCTCCCAGACATCTGGCCCCTTTATTTAAAAAAAATAGAGTTGCGGTGAGGAATCAACAGGTCACGTAAACAAAATATCTGCACGTTGGTAGGTATGTAATGGTATTCCAGCCCCCCACAGTCCGTAAGACTTAAGTTAGTCATTCCTATTGATTTCAATGGGGCTACTCTAAGTATGACTGAGTCTGGATCAAATCTTAAGGTGATGCTGTATCTTGAACTTGAGGTCATTTTCCAATAGAGTTCTAAAACATTTCATGATACTTGAAGATGAAAATATGTATTTTCTTCATATTTATATGGATTATTATAAGTAATCTTTACATCCTCTGAACCCCCCCCCCTTTTTTTCTGTTTGTTTGTTTCTTTGTAATTTTATAGGAAGCAAAAGGAGATTTTTCGAGGTGAGTTTTGCATGAATATTTTTCATGTACATACTTTTATAGAAAATGTGATTGCTATTCAGTTAGAAAATGTGTCACTCATATACACACATAGACACTTGCCGGGTCAGGTGGGGGCGGGCTCAAAATCTGTAAATATGGGAAATGTCATGGATTGGATCCAAGGTACCTCCGGGATGGTCTTCTCCAAACAGAATCTGCCCATCCTGTACGTTTGGGCTGGGGAGGGGTGATTGGAGAGGAGAAGTCCAAAATGAGGCCTTTTTTGCTGGCAGACCCATCACTATAGAACAGCTTGCCTTCCCTGTTTGGATAGTCCTCATGGTGTTTGCATTTAGAAAGGTGGCAAAGACAGTTTGGGACTTAGGAGCTACTCTGTTGGGTTGTTGCTATTTTTTTTAAGTTTTCTTCTTAAGTTTATTGGTATTTTTAGAGTAATATTTAATTCATATTAGGGGTGATTAGGTGGTGGTTTGCACTGATGATTTGTGGATTATATTTTTTATGAACTAAGGGAGCTATCCGAATTCTTGTGGGTGGGGGCTGGATATAAACAATGCAATAAATAAATAAAATGGTACAACAGTCTGCTTCCGTAGAGCAGGAAGATATGTCAGAAGAAATTACTCATCTCATCAGACATGGTAATTCAGTCGACTGGTACAGTTGTTTCAAAATCACTTCCAAACTGTGACTATTTTAGGCTTAAGGTTATTTTTGTCGTTTGGGTTTAAAAATTAATTACAAGGAGAGAATGAATGTGCTGCTGAAATGAGTGTGCTATTCATTCACCCTTGGCTCAATTCATCCATGAATCCAGTCAAAGCTGGCACTTGTTCAGTTAACTAATAAGGACTTTGGATCCCTTGATTAGCTAAAAAACTAAAGTTGCCTTCAAGTCAGCTTCAGCTCCTGAAGACTTCTTGGACATTTCCATGCACTTTTCTTGGTGTAAGGTAGTGATCTGCCATTGCCTTCCCCCAGGATGTTTATTGACATCCCAAATAAGCGTACAGCCCTGGGAGAGTGATCTCCCATCCAACTACTAACAAGGACTGACCCTGCTTAGCTTTTAAGATCAGCCAAAGTCAACCTGGTACTAGGCTACTGTACAAGCATACTGTCAAAAACAGTTGCCTTGCAACATCAAGCCACCACCATAGATGAGGCTCTGTGGATGGAGACCTCACAGATGTACCAACAGTATGAGGATGGTTTATGTACCTGCTTCTTTCCCTAGTGTTCGTACAAATTGGGGGATGGAGGGTGGATGGGTTAGTTGCCACGGCTTCAAATGTGACACTTTAAATGAATTTAATTGGGAAAAGGGAAAGTGCAAAATGAAATAGAATAGGGGCGCAAGGCGTGCTTCAGTATAGGAAGCACAGAGTTCCCTGACGCGTCCGTTTTGAAATCTTACACCGCTTGTGAAATCCTGACATGTCTTCGACAAGCCTGTTCTTGCTTTCATTTCCCAACGCATAGTCTTGTAGCTTTGCTTAGTCATTAATAATAGTGTTTGATTGAAAGGCCAAAAGAAATAATTCACTAACATAGCCTGCAAATTTGATTTATGGCAGCCGCAGGATTATTGCTGATCTGCCTGTTTTTGAGCAAGGCTAATAGCGTTACTCAAGACAATTAATTTCTGGCTCAGCTGCATAGATACAAACCTGCAGTGAAACTACTCAAGAAAAAAAGAAAAGAGATAGTAATGCCATGGAGCTTGAAGGCATTCTACTTCCCAATTAGCAGGAACTCCTTCCTTCCCACACCTCCCACCTCCTGGGCTTCAGGTCTTTCAAGGGGAAAGGTGGCTTAACAGCTCTGCAGTTTCCTTCATTGGAACTGCTGGGAATTTTTTTTTTTTTTTTTTTGCAACTACCAGACAAATGCACACAACGTGGAGTGAAGTGAAGACAATGCAGATGAGAAGGGGGTGTGAGAAATTATTTCCTTTTTGCATGGAGTGAGAATCAAGGATGTTTATTACTGCAGTTCCTGCATAAAACAGTGATTTATAATCTTTTATTTCAGCACTGTGAGGCTGGCAGAGCAAAAAACAATTCCTGGTGGTTTCCAAACTGCTATTATGGAATTAGGGTGTGGAACTGCTGACAGTGTAGAAGTAGCCTTAGATGCACATACTAATGATTCACACTATTCACATACAACACTCATATAGAAAAAAAAACCCTAATCAATAAAGCCAGTATTGCCTTTTTTTCTGATTTTCTGTACTCCTAGCCCTGTGTTTATTGCTGATAGCTTTCAAAACTTTCCAGTGGTAAAAACATACATAAACATTCAAGAACATCTCCATCGCCTGGGGAGAGTTAATTTTAAGGCAATGTTTCTGAAACTTGGCAATTTCCAGATATATGGACCTCAATTCCCAGAAGTCTCAGCAATGGCTATTATTGGCTGGGGAATTCTGAGAGTTGAAATCCATGCATCTGGAAGTTTCCAGGCTTGGGAATTACTGATTTAAGGCAATTGGGACAAAAGATCTTGCTTTAAAGGCAGCCTATGTTTTACAGAATCCTCAGTGAGGTTACTTCTGATCAATACCTTCTTACATTGATGGACTTATGTGGAACCAAGATCAAAGCAGTGGTCAGCCACTTTGAGTTTCCCACAGTGCCATGGGGTATTACCACATTAGGAGCAGTGCTGGAAATTATTTCCCATTTATATTAATAGTTTTACTGTTGCTGTATGTTTACATTGGTTTATTCAATTTGTTGGCCAATATACAGTATGTTTATAGGAAAAGTAGAATATCAAATAAATCTCTTCAGCTCACTAAAAATACACCCTGTTGAAAATGAACAAATGGCTGGACTACAAGTAATACAATGGGAAAAGTCTATATAATAGAATGAGGAATCCTGGGATTCAAATCCCAAATTTCTCTAAGATTGGCAAAACAAAAAAAGGAAGAAAAGACATTTGTGATGAAATGTGTTTTCATTCCATGAATTCCAAAGAAAGCAAGCCATGCACTAATGATTGGCAACCCCAACATCAGAAAAAGTTATATTGCGTAACTTTGCTCAATAGCAAATTCTTCACTCAAAGAATGTGTCTTGCAACATGTTTTCCAGTGGGAAAGCATCATCTTAGGCAGACAGTACAGATCTGAATCTTGTTGCAATTTACATTTTAAGTGATTTTGGCTTGCTTAGCTTTAAAGAAAAATTCACCAGGTTTGTTTGTTTTTTGTTTTTGTTTTTTTTGAAAGGAGGTCAAAAATACTCTCTGGTAATTTGTCTTTTTGTTTGCAAAGTGGGGAAGTTTAATAATTATATGTTTTTTTGTTCTAAATCATTCTTATTTTTTAAGGATTTACCATTTAAAAAGAGAGGGAGAGAGAAACAAAAGGAAATCAGTAACTGCCCCATCTGTCAGTTCAATAATGATTAGAAATATTACTAATTTATAAACAATTTCACAGCCTTAAACATTATAAGGTAATTGAGTGTTAGAGCTTTGCAAGGCATAAGAAAGAAGTATTTTGGAAAACGTATTAGTGCAAATGAAATACCTTTCTTCAACTGCTTAAAGCAACTACATCTTTTTAAAGTCTTGCTCAGCCACTTCAAAAGCTCTCCCCAGTTGTCTGCAAATATATCCACTGATAAGACTTTCAATGCTACCCCTTGTGAAGCAAAGTGGTTGTGCACACGGGGACATGCTGAAACAGCCAGAAGAGCTTCTGAAGCACCTGTACGAACCTTGTAAAAGACATAGCTGCTTTAACAAGGGCTGTTCATTTCAGCCCTACTAAAAACTTTCTTTCATGTGGAAACAGCGGGTTCAGGAGAGAGTGGTTTAAATAGAAAAATGATTGGTCCCTGTCCACTGTTATGCCTCCAATCTGAATTAGGCCTCTACAATAGCTTTCATGTTTATTCTTTAGAGCGTGGATCAGCGCTTCATAGATCTCACATACCATCCCTAGCAACAAGCCATCAAACATGAAAATGGATAAGCTGTCGATCTGTATAAATAGCATTGTGTGTCACCTATCATCTGCTATGAGATACTATATATCATTATATACGAATGAGTTAAATACTGACAAATGCAAACCAGAGCGACAAAGGAGATTCCCAGAACAACAACATTTAACAATCTGTCTTCTTGGTGAGGGACTATGATGGAAGGAGAACCTAGCTAAGCAATGATGACATCCAGAAAGGAAGAAAAACAGAAGAGATAATTTGCCACTAAGCAATTTTTTTTACATACTGAAAATCTAAAGATAGTAATTTTCTTGCCTTGGAATGAACTTCCAGTTAAACAATTAGTGCTTGTCAGTAGAATTACAGGAGCCAACCCATAACCTCTCTTATTGCACCATAATAGAAATTATGAATATTGCACTTCCAATAGAGGTGAATATGTGTAGCTCAGGGTTGAACTTTGGAGTCCTTGGGGGTTCTCTGAGCTTGGTTCTTTTCTTGCAAACG